AAGCCTCCATTTTTTCAGTTTGAAGCCAAGTGTGACTTGGAAATAAGACAGAGCATGAGAAACCTTACCTGCGTACGGGGATGCTCGTTTACCTTCACAAGACAGGCAGTGTATATTGCAGAGACGTATTCTTAAAGTACGGCAGCAGCAGTTATATTTGGTAACTATAAACTCTTTATTTTTACAGTATATAAAAATATAAGAACATAATACTATACAGAAAAAATATAAAGTTAAGCAGAGATCATCTCAATCTCATTTTTAAGAGGTAAGACATGAACGGGATCATACTGTGCAAGCCCCAGACTTCAGAAAAATAAAATTCTTCTGGCGGTTCAAGTGGTGGCACACTCAATCCCAACAGGACGGATGCTGCTTACCACGGCCAGAGGCAGAGGTGTGCCGAGGGATGTGTTTCCAGCACAGGGAACTCATCTCCCAGCTTCCAACATCCTTCCAATCTCAGTTTCATTTTATGTTTAACGAAAGCAAGTCCTCTTTCATGATCTGACCTAGAGATAGATGTTCTCGCCCTCCTTCAGCGTATTTATGGGCTTAGGCCCCACCGTACCCAGCCAGCGCACGTCCCCTGAGCTGTGATCCCACCCGTGGGCTCAGATCTGCGTAAACCAGTGAGTCTGCAGCACGCTTGCACACAAATACAACTGGCAGCTGGCTGTGACTGGCCGGTGAGCTGGCAAATGTGATTTAAGGCAGGCAAAAGGTCAGTGAAAGCAAGCTGATGAAATCCCCGAGCTTCCACCAGTTCCTCAAAGGGGGGGAAAAAAAACACCCTAAAAATAAAAAAGCAGCCAGCATTCTTTTCCAAGGTACTGGCTGTTTCAGTACATTGCTGTCTTTAAGGAAGGACAGCATGGACTGCAGCAGCCAACAGTACAAGAACCATCTCCTCCTCTTTACCTGTACTTCTCTAGTTTCGTTTTCCACTACCAAACTGTGTAAGTTTGCTTGCGGGTGAAGCAGGGAAGAGAGAAGGGGAAAGAAACAGGGGCAGAGAATTAAGGCATTACAGTGCAAAGTATACGCTCATGGAAAAAAAGCCACAAAAGAAAAAAAAAAAAAGGTTCTCTGTAGTTTTTCCAAGCTTGTTCCCTCCACGGCCACAAACCAGGGTCTGTCCTCACCAGGAATAACTGCCAACTGACCCTAGACCTTCAAAAAGAACATGGCAGTACGTTCTCCAAAGTGGTGAACTTGCTTTTACACTAAGTATCAGCCGTGCTAGCGAGGTGCCAATATTGCCACCTTTTCATCACAGCAGGACTAGCCACGAGAAAGTACAGTGGGAGTCTTGGGTCTTCGAGTTCCTCTTATTTTGTTGATTCGTAGAAGAGCTTTGCAAGTCCCTGTGCTGTATTCACACTGGAGAAAAAAAAAACAAAAGTGCAGCAACACATCCTGGAGACAGTCCAAGTATTGCTGTGCTGAGGCAGCTTGCGGAGTTTGACTGAAGAAAATTGACCGAAGAAGAAATAAGGGCAGACTTAAAAAGGAAGATGGAGGAAGAAGGGAATTGCTCCAGGCACCAGCGCGTCCCAGTTCCTGCCTACTGCCAGAAAGGTGCTGCAGTGGTTCCCGTCGCTTGTAAGCGGCACGTGCAGGACAGTGGGGTCTGGGACTGCGCGGTTGCGTAGGGTTAATCAGCAGCATATTTGGAAAGCCTCTCTGTGGCAGGTGTGTGGACTGCTCTCACTGCCACTTGTAGAGCTTCACCATCTTCTCCGTCAGAGTAGCCAGGAGGTGGGTTTGGTTCACTTCCAGGGGGCAGATAGCCAGCACGGGCAGGTCAGCCTGCAGCTTCTGCAGCAAGGAGCCACTGCCAGCATCCCAGAGCTGTGGGACAGACAAGGTCAAACGCTGCAGCATCCTCCCCTCCCGTATCCAAAACGGATCTTGCTCTCTTCTCTAGAGAGAAGACTTTCCACAAGATCCTTACAGGACCCTTCCTCTACTTTCACTCCCTGCTCAGATGGTCTCTAACAGACTCACAGCACAATGTCACCCTGACTGCCCTCTCCTCTGACCCCGACTCATGAGCTCTCACGCAGCCTGTTGTCTATCCTCTGCCTCCGAGCTGCTTTTTCATACAAAGGGCAACCCTTCTCCTCATCTTCCCCATCATACTTCAAGAGCCTGCATCCATCCCTCACAGCACTTACCGCATCAACTGTCCCACCAAGTCTCCAGTACACCAGTTAGCGCCCAGTTGGGCCAGTGTGCCCAACTGCATTCCTCTGGTGGACAACAAGGGCTCGCTGCCTGCATTCCTCTCAACAGATGTGGACCACAGGCTTTGGCCAATATTGGGTGTCCCACGCTATCAGCAAGTTACACCTGCTGCAGCAAGTACAACAGACCAACCTGCACAGGGTAACGCGCGCGACGAGACAACACCCACCAAAACACACTGATGCTGTGACTGATAAGGCTCCTCACCTAAGAACTACAATAAAACCCACCACCACGCTGAAAGGAACAGGATATACCAGGGCAGAATTAGATGCCTCATCGCCAGCACACACAAAGACGCTGCCGTCCTCCTCCGGGCTCTGAAAAATGGCATTCTTGGTCAGCAACTTGCAGGTGGGCCCAGCGCTGAAAGTCTGAACCGGGTTAGAAGAACACACTACATCTTCAGAGGCCTCTGTCAGTGGGCTGCAAGTCAGTTCCATCATCACACAACGCACACAAGGGTTATTTTTACCTGGGTGGCAGAAATAAAAAGGTAGCCTGTGGAAAACTTAACTGCAGACAGGTTTAACTGTAGGAATACGAGCAACACCACCCCGCAGCTGCCTCCTTTCGCCCTCACCCAATTCTTATCTACAGGCAGATGCTCATTGCTCTGGCTAGGGCAGGTGCTACGTTTCTGCTGCGCCCTCAGCACCAGAGCTGCTGTTGAACTCAACAAACACCAGGTCAGAGCGGCAACAAACAGCGCCCTGCAGGCGCACAGCGTTACGTACTGGGTCTGTACGTGGCGAGGCAGTGCCGAGTGGTGATCTCTGTTTGAATATCGATGCATCCTCCAGGTTCCAGTGGCAGGTGATGAGGCCGGTAGGAGTTGCTAGTTTTCTGTTCCCAAAAGCAGGCTCCTTCCAAGGTCCCAGCTAGTATTCCACCGTAAGGCAGTGATGCTGAGGCCACCCGGGGCAGATAGGACAATGATACCATGGGGCACCTGAAAGCGTGATCGGCAAGAGTCAGCGCTGCCAGCTGCAGGCACGCTGGCGTTCCACCTCAACTCTCTCCAACCACATTGCAATTTCGAAAGGGCCTAAACAGGCTACAAAATGGTCCTTCAAGCAACGAAACCCAATGGGTTTGTCAAGAATAAATTAAATTCAACTTAACTACTTGGCCTCATGTTTTAAAGAAGCATCAGACAGCCCACATCAGATGCGTGCAAACCAGCATTTGATTCCCTGAGTAGAAGAGATGGAGGTACCAGCATCTCACACCTTTTTGTAATTTGTTCTTTCCAAATTAAACACTAAAGCCAGTTCTAAAACAAAATTCAGTTCTCCTGCTTAGGCTGCACCAGTGGGTCCATTTCTGACCACCGTGTGCCTTGTGCCTTAAAAAGATGCAGGTGCCAAGCACTGGTACTAAGTTATACCGTATAACCTTATGAGAGACTTCTCACATCTGTGCTAGATTCACCTGAAACATTTTAATCTATTATTATTATGGAAGAAGGTAGATTTAGATTAGATATTAGGAAGAAATTCTTGACTGTGAGGGTGGTGAGCCCCTGGCACATGTTGCCCCGAGAAGCTGTGGCTGCCCCATCCCTGGAGGTGTTCAAGGCCAGGTTGGACGGGGCTTGGAGCAACCTGGGCTGGGGGGAGGTGGCCCTGCCCAGGGCAGGGGGTGGAACTAGATGATCATCAAGGTCCCTTCCAACCCAAACCATTCTATGATTATAATTTTAAACTATTATAATTGCTGTGTGATTTATGAAAGAAGCTATGTTTGGCTTAATGTATATTAGTGAAGCTAAGGGGAATGAAAAATCCTTATGCCATACCTGGACTTCTGAGGGACGAGTTCCTGGACATGAGAGTTGGTGTCTCTCAAATCATATATCATGATAGAGCCATTGACCAATCCAGCATAGACGTAGTTTGTATCGTCCAGACACCAGCAGCAGCTCCAGACAGGACGGCCAGCATTGTATGTCTGCACCACGGTATTTGTTGCCAAGCTGCAGAAGAAAAGCAAAGCGTTGGCCCGCTGCACAAGCATCTACTGATGAGAAAACAGCATAATTAAGGTAAGCAAATCTAGCTTTTTAAAGTCTTCAGACAGAAGCATCTCTCTTTAGACTGAATTCGCAATTAACTCCTCTTTTACTCCAGACAAGAATCTGGAAAATCTAGACAGAATAATCACTTGGATATTGTCAAGTGGTTCATAATTCTTCCAGGCCAATGCTTCTTTTTCCAGATTGATCTTTGGAGACTGGGAAAGGAAATCTCAGAGCAGGGTCTCAACTGCCTTACTGGAAAGGGAAAGCTGAGTTACTTTTCTGGAAACAATTAGAAGTGACTTTAGTGTAATCCCGTAATATCACATATTCCTGAGATCACAGGGCTCATCTCTTCAGATTACATCTCTCATTAATTATTTCCCTCTTTTTATGTGAGAGGAACAGTGCTTATGCCTCAAAAGGATCCAAGTTAAGCAACAGTGAGACAGCAAATGGGGTAAAGACAGTTAAATGCAGATTTATAGTGTTAATTCTTTAGAAACTCAATTTGTGGAAGGAAGAAGAGGGGTGCAACCCAGAATGGCAGATGAAGTTGGTGTCAGATTGGAACGTATTTGCAAAGGGCAGCGTTGTCAACACAGGCTCAGCACAGCGAGAACAGTGCGAGACAGATCAAAGTGACTCTGGATATCCTTTACAACACACGGGTTTTTCCCTGGGGAAGGCGATTATGCTCAGAACTCCAGAGAAGACAGTAATTGCTCCCAGGTAAGCGTAAGGGGAACAACCACAAAGATCAACCTGGCTGGGCAAACAGGGAGTTTGATAGCAGGACAGTGACTGGTTCAAAACAACAGGAAAAACACCCTAAAGTCACAGTGCTATTTTAAACACTTGCAAGTGAGAAAAGGAGACTTTAAGGACATCTTGGATAACTCCTTTTGGTAGGATGACTATGAAATCAGTAACTAGAGAAGAAAGATGACCAAAGGGGGAGTTTGCTTTCAGAGGAAGACGTAAAGAAGTATGAAGATGCTGCTGAAGCAAGCACTTAACTCCAAGACATTCTGGGATCAAGCACAAAGGCAAGAGGATCACAAGTTCCGACGCAGCCAACCAGGCAGATTTGGGAATCGTGTCTGAGCAGATATTGCAACGAGAAGCCGCTGTCCAGATTAAACCATGAGAAGAGTATCAACCTCATTGGTTAGAAGTCTGACATGCTGATTTTAGCATCGGACAGTTTTGTTTGCTTTTAACTAGTCTATCAAACATTTCGACACGGTAACAGGAAAGCAACATTCTTTACATTTTTGTTGCAGGATTAAGTTCTCTTCGTTGCTTCACCCGTGGGAAAGAATTGGGACTAATCATTCATGTAACAGAGACATATTCTGCCTAACCCTACACCGACAGACAGACGTACATAAAGATGTTAATATAACTCAATGAGAATCTATCAGCCAACAAAATTGTGAAGCAGCCTAAGCTTAAGATGGAAGAGCAGCAGAGTAGCAAGAAAACACACTCAAAGGCTGTAAATTCTAACAGGATTGGACACATTTATCTCTCAGCTTCGCATAATTAGTCTCCGACCCACTGCTTCAAGCCTCTGCTAGCTTTAGAGAACCTGTGTTCCTCTAGCAGGTGGTCAACAATGCTGCCTACGCACTTCATATGGGTGAGACCCCGTCTGGAATACTGCGTCCAGCTCTGGAGTCCTCAACTGAAGTAAGACATGGACCTGCTGGAGCGTGTCCAGAGGAGAGCCATGAGGATGATCGGAGGGCTGGAGCACCCCTCCTATGAGGAGAGGCTGAGAGAGCTGGGGCTGTTCCGCCTGGAGAAGAGAAGGCTCCGGGGAGATCTTACTGCGGCCTTCCAGTGCCTAAAGGGGCTCCAGGAGAGCTGGGGAGGGACTTTTTACTGGGGCATGTAGTGACAGGACGAGGGGGAATGGCTATAAACTGGAAGAGGGCAGGTTTAGATTAAACATTAGGAAGAAGTTTTTCCCTGTGAGGGTGGTGAGGCACTGGAACAGGTTGCCCAGAGAGGCTGTTGAGGCCCCATCCCTGGAGGTGTTCAAGGCCAGGTTGGACGGGGCTTGGAGCAACCTGGGCTGGTGGGAGGTGTCCCTGCCCAGGGCAGGGGGGTGGAACTCGATGATCTTTAAGGTCCTTTCCAACCTAAACCGTTCTATGACTCTATGATTCATATCCCAGATTAATTCCATGCTCTGCAAGAAGTTTAAAAGCCAACATTAGAACAGGGAATAAAGATCCCAACCTAAACGCCCCTTGTTTCTGTTTTACGCCGTACAAGTTCCCATGCTTCACATTTCCCTGCAGTAACAGAAAACCAAGCGGACAATACGTTTCACATCTGTACATCATGCTACATTTTTTCCTCAACACAATTTGGCCAATCCGTGTCGAATTACTTGTTTCCCAGTGAATTCTCCACAGGAAAATTATCAGAGACAAGTAGCTCTGTATCACCTCCATGTAAAAGATCCAAAAGCAGGAACGAGTCTCTGTTAGTTCGCACATGCAGGAAGAATACACAGACCTGATCCCATCTTAGCAGCATCTTTTAGAAAGCAGAATAGCAAGTGCTGCAAGACATTTCTAGCAAGACAGAACGAAATCCAATCCAATCTCTTACACACACAGCAGAACTCCGCTGGGACAGGTCGCTCCCCCGAGCAGGGCTCACCTGGTAAGTTTGAGAGTGCTGTCCAGAGCAGCAGAGAGCAGCAAGCCATCCGCTCGACCGCCGAAAGCCAGCCCCCGAATCTGTTTACTATGGATGGGGATGTACTGACTGCTCTTCAGGTTGGCCACGCTCATCATCTTAACACCACAACCTGTCACAGAAGGAGGATAAAGCAGGTTATCGCGAAGCAGCACACGTGTAGAACTAGCAATTCTACGCCCGAACTACAATGTCTGTACTGAAGCCAGTGGTGGGATGAACACATGAACATTATTTGCCGTTCTGGATAAGAACCACCACAAATCATTCTTTAGTTCAAATGGCAACAGGGCTAAATCCCTAGGGATCCCATCCAGCAAGAGCAAACTCGGATCAGTGTTACAATTCTTGTTACAAGAGCCTGCTGCTCTTTAGCCAGTTTCTTCAAAGACATTGCTGCCTAGATAAAGACACGCACAGTAGGATTACATGGCTATTTAAGAGAACAAGTGCCGCTGCAAAGAATGCTTACAGGTGAACTTAACCTGTGTGCTACAAGAGTCACCACAAAGCCGCCATTCAGAGATTCATTCCCTGGCTCCGAAAGCCAGAAAAATAAGGTCAGTTGAATTCAATTTTGTTATGCCTAGATAAGGCGTATTAATCTCCAAACCATTAACCAAATAAAGTAAGTTTCATCATTCAGAAAGCACTGAAGTATTTTGCAAATAAACTCTCAGACTCCTAATATGCTACATCTATTTCATTGAAAAAGCAAGCTGGCGCCAGTCCAGATGGCAGGTCACTTGCCCCTGGCCATAACAGCGAGACAGAAACAGGGCTGCCCATGGCTTCCTATTTCCTCACTGGGAAACGGAGCTCCTATCATTCATGTTAGAATTTTTTTTTGCTTTTCATTTGGTTTTTTTGTTTGGTTGTTAGTGGGTTTTTTTGTTTGGTAGGTTTGGCTTTTTTTTTTTTTTTCTTCTTCTCTTTTCAAAGAGTATTGACAAATCAGCTGCATGTGGATCGATCCACCTACAATTTGGGGAGCAACGTTTCTCACTCAAGCACTGGAAGCTCCTCTGCAGCCTTATACACTGGTCCCTTGTTCTTTGAGATGACCCACTGTTTTGCAAAGGGTCGTCTTCATTGCGGAGCACCAGACACACCTTTTACCTTCTCCTGGATGTGACACTTCAGCAGAAGAGCCAGAGACACCCTGCTGGCATTCTGCCATAGAGGTGAGGGGCAAACAAGCTACTTCACTAGGCAGAAGCTACCGATGCAGGGGCCAGATGAACTACAGGGAGTCTTGTGAGTATTCCCAGTTTACAAGGCACATGCAAAGGTCAAGCAAGAGGAGCGGGGAGCAAGTAGAAAACACATTTAACTTTCACCTATGATCTTGACTTGCTTAATTACCAGGAATAAAAGTAGACTGCGGAGAAGGCTGCGATACCACGAGGCAACTCAGCGAGTCGCAGTATGCCATTACTCTGCAGTTCCCAGTCTGAGACACCACAAAAACCTTTTCCAAGTGGTACTTGCGCTGGCTTTGGCTGGAGGGGAGGCTGCCTGGGAGGCAGGTGCGGGAGCTGCCGGGCTGCTGAGAAGCACTCACATTGTGCTGGGCCACCAAAGCCTTCAGCTCCTGCAAAGAAAAAGACCCAGAGAGCTTTAGTGCGCCACTGGCGATGTCACCTTCTGCACTGTCTGTTCCAGATGCTCCAACCGTACTTGTTCTCAGATAAAAAAGGAGGAGTATGGTCCAATTTCCATGCTGTTCCTGAAATGCTGGATTTCAAAGTCCATTGACTATGCCAGTGAGCAACAAAAGCATTCAAATGCTGAGTGAGTTCTGGCAGAACGTACTCAAAGTCTGTTATTGTATATATTAGACCCTGTGAGAGAGAGGACTCTTGGGCAACACATAAAAGCCAATAACAATTATTACCAGATCAATGCTGTTTAGAAAAGAACGAACTGCCAAGTATTACATGCAGCTAAACCACAAGAGAAAGTCAATTAGAACCATTTTCCAGAATCTCCAGAATACCCCATAAAAAAATAAAAGCCCAAGTTTCAACATAAAGGGCGTTGCAGGAAACAAGTCAGTCTATTTAATGAAGATGACCCTGTTCTTGTAAACCCTGAGCAGCAAATTCCAGGAACGACTCAACTCTCAAGAGCTCCAGCCCTGTTTTCTGCCACCTCCTCCCCCATCTTCCTCCACCTCAACCGATGAGTGCTCAAGGACGCTCAGCAGAGCCGTGGCCAAGCACAGCTTCCATCAGCAACGAGGTATTTCTAAAATTCCGCTTTCCACAAAGATCATCAGGGGTGAGGTGGGTATGCAAACAGTGGCACTGGCGTATTGTCAGTCAACTAAAAATGCCCTCCCCAAAAGCATTTTGACCAACTTGTTGTAATCCAAGGGCAAAAGCATACAGTACAGAACCCCAGGGATAGTAGAGGGAGTGTAGTTATTAAGAAAATTGCTACTTGCTTTCTGTTGTCTGAGCAACATAGGTTATGCTTCAAATACTACATATTTTTTAAACAATTAAGGGCCACAAGAGTGATATTATGAATATATTAGTAGCCTGCAAGCTAGCTTCAATATTGAACCAGCCACTACCACTTAACTCACGTCTAAGCAAAGGCAGCAGTTCCCAAAGAGGCAAGATCAAAGATCAAGCTTTACATTAATAGTTATCATCAAGACCTGTAACTTTTGGAAACTGCTCAAGAGGAGAGCAATTCTGATATTTTACAGAGGTCTGATCTGTTTTGCATCAAGCGCATTGCAAATCCCCCAAGGGAATAAAAATCAAAGCTGAAGACTCAAGATGATCCCATTAGAGCAAGCAAAGACAAAACAACCTGGGGAGGAAGAGGAGGTGTGGGGGATGCAAAGTTGCTGACGATGGAAACTACAGCTTCAGGCTTAGAGTAAGCAGTCAGTGAAAACACCAGTAACTTAGAAGAAAGTGACTCTTAATAAAAGAATTAATAAACTCATTTCTAAAAGGCAGGAGGATACCACCACCAGTAAGGATCAGAAGCGATTAAAATTATTTGTTGCTCTGGGGAGTTTACAAAACTCTCCTTATCACCTGCACTCAACATACAATTTTTACACAAGTTATTAAAAAGGAAACCAGGCAATTAAAGCCACAAGGACTATTAGTACAATGCTTACATTTAAACACAATGGACAAACCCAGCAGAATCAGGAAGTCTTACTGGAGACACATTACCAAAGTGATTAAAAATATCGCACTGCAGAACAAATTCCACTAATTGTGCTCAAAAGAAAACTACTCTGGTAGTGTAAGCCTGTACCTTCCTTGAAGATGTTTGCAGAGTTTTCCCCGATGCCTGGTGTTGACTAAGGGCCCGGAGGGCACACTCGTCTCTCTGCACCCGCTAGGACTGCCTCCTAGATTTCAGCTTGAATGAACACAGGCACACAGGTTGGGGAAAGAAGAGGGTACACAGCAGAAGTCTTCCTGAGGAGCATGCATTGAGAAGCACAAGAGCACAATGAATAGGAAAGGAAAACCACCAGCTACAACAAATACAGAATCGTTTTCTTTTGAGTATTAGGTTACAGTCTTAATGGCTGATACGAAGCTTTAGAGACAAAGGCAGTTATCAGACAACTGTGGCTCTCTGGCTGTGCTCCCACAGACCTCTTACAGAAGAGAAACACACGACTACAACCTCAAGCTGCAGTGCAGCACTACTGGCATTCCACCTTCCTTTGGTTCAGGTTCAAATTCGGTCAAAAGGACACAGAGCATTTTTAATCGGCTGCACTATAAGTAACAGCTCAATGAAGTATCAGGTTTTACTAACTACTTCTAGATATTCCCCAGATAAACAGGTAAACACGAAGATCACAAAGATGAAAGATTTTTATGCAATAAAACCACTCGCATAAAACGGAATTAAGTTCATAAATTGTCATTGATGTTTTGGCATCCAGTTCTTTTTGAAGGCTCTGAAAATCCCATTGAAAAAAAAAAAAAAAAAAAAAGCTTTTCCAAGACATTGGGCAATATAAACTGACCTCTGCAAGGCTCATGATTACACTTCCTTTCTCCACAGCAGCATGCAATCTCCTGTCATTTCCCTGCCAGTCCTGCCTTTACTGCTCCCTACACAAACACAAAGACTGTTTCCCACTTGCAAAAATGAATCTCCTACCTCAGCTGATCAGTGGTATTAATGCCAGAAGCCAGACACAGTTTGCTTATCATTAGCTACCCTTTATTGATATTTTTGGCAGAGTCCGGAGGAGTACTGCAGTAGCTGACATCCGATTCCCAAGTTCTTTGTGGTCACAAAGAAAAAACTTTAGGCAAAAGAAAGATTTCAGTAGCACTACTTCCAAAACACAAGTCTGAACCTGCCACGCAGGGTGCAGCATGTAGCTCAGCACAGCACACACTGCAGGTTTACAGAGAGAAACAACACTGTTGAGAGCTTTTTGCCAGAGTTGTAGTTAGCTCCCTACCCACTCTGCCCTCAAGTTCCTTTCCTCATGTATTTTCATATAGCTAAAGACTTAAAAACCATCCTTTTCTAGCCTCAATCATCTTAAATACTTCAATAACAAAACACAATGGACAATAGACAAAAGCAGGGAAATGGACAAACGCAGGGAAAAATGCATACAAACATAAAAGGTTGTAACTAGTGACATGACTGCTGATGAGGCACAGCTCTCAAGCACATTAGCAACAAAAAAGGGTTCACACAATGACTTTTTTTGAGGGGGGCACCAATGGCATTTGCTTTCCATAAAACTTCAGACACCGAGGTTTGTATGCAGCCAACGAACATCATAACTATTCCAATAAAGTTCTACGCAACTGAACTTTGCCATGCTGAATGTCCCCCTGAGCATATGGACATTTCACACATTTCCTTTTGTAGTCCCACAGTGCTTTGTTTTCTATATTGGCTTACAGCTTTGTATTCCAATTAAACATGTCTTCTTGCGGCGTCAGTAACATGGCTTGCTGAAAAGACCAGGGCAACAGCCTCAAGATGTAACGAGGCAAATGAACATAAGATGTTAGGGGGGAAAAAAAAAAAAAAGTCTCGATGAGGATGTTCAAACAATGGGACGTCCCGAGAGGCTGTGCAGTCTGCTTGCGTACACTCAACACCCAGGATGAGGGTGCCCTGAGCAACCCAACCCAATGCTGAAGCTGCCCGATTTAGGGTCGCTTCCAACCAAAATGCTTCTATGCAAATAGTTGCTTTACTAGATGACCTCTCATAAGAGAAGGAGCTCGTTAGGCATATGCTCAAAATATAATCAAGCAACTTACAGACTTATACCAGACTTACTGCTGATTTTCTGCTCCCCACATTGTTTTACTTTCAGCTTATTCATAGTATAAACAAGCACCTTAAAATTGCTTCCAGCATTCACATTAACCACTACAGGACAGTGATGAATGCAGTATAAATACTGAAACAGAGCTTAAAGAACACGGGGTACTTAATCTTTAGAACAAGTGACTTCAGTTCAGTTTGACTGGATACTCTATCATTTAACACCAAAAGAATTGCAGGAAGACATTATGGAGCTGCAGTTTTATCTTATTCAGATTTTCTTTAAGCCAAAGTTTAAAGTGGACCAATTTTCTTATTAGCTCTGATGAGCTTCATGCAGGAATTTAAGCAAGCCGTTTATAAAGCCTTGTCTTACGTCACACAGGAAGACTTCCGCAAAGAGGATGTTGCTTAATGTACAGACATAAATAGCCAAGGCTATAAAAAAAGATCCAGAAGTAAGGCAAAGCATAAAATTAAGCAAGTTACTAGACAGTGAGAGATTAGATATCATCTGCTTCAAACAACAACAAAAAACTAGCAAACTACCTGAGAAACAGGCTATTGGAAAACCTAGCACTGGTGGAACGTGCCAGGTAATTCACCGTTGGAAGCACCAGCAGAGTCCACAATCTACAGGAATCCTGCAAAAGCAGCTGTGATGGGTTACAAAATATCACAGTATTGCATAAGCCAGAAAGAGTTGTTTAGCAACCAAATAATTTATTTTCAGCAATTTGTATTCTAAGGGGACAGAGGTGCCTCTTAGCAGCTGTTCAACCCTCTGCATACAGCCCATGCTATTTGCAGGCCAGGTCTCATGGTACCAGAAGGTGCTTAAGTAGAATGCTGACTGACCTTCACCAAAAAATTTGGGTGTTTTTGTTGTTCTCTTTCATTTTGGCAAATAGCCATACCTCTTCACAAACTACTTCTCAAAGGTTCTTGACTAACTAGTGATAATAGATCCCATTACAGCTTTACTACAGAGATTTTCAAAGCTGATTTTGATGCAGTTAAGAGAAAGATGAGGAGAATTAGTTTGGTGCTGTGTTACCAGGCCTTGCCAGGCACCACAAGACCGCCGGAGGAACCTGCAACATCAGCAGCCAAAAAAAACCCCTCTACTGCTAAGCTGTATTTGCAACTTTGATTAAGTCTTAAAAGCACAGGAAGTATACATGAATACGCCAGCCTGGGGTATTTAGAATACTCCTGATGATTCACCAATTGAGTTTACTAAATCTTGCTGTTTCTTAAAACTAGAAGTCTTCTCTCCTCTAAGGGAACATGCAAAAGGCAGGTTGAAAAGAAAAGGAATCCTCTGTGTATTAGAAACACGAGACTCACCTGAACTTGCTTGCGGAGTTTGCTGCATTCGTCTGTCAAAACCTGCAGCTGGAGACGGCTCTGTGCGGATTCCAGCTCTGCCTGTCTCCGCAACATTTGTTCCTTTTCTAAAGAGCTGGAGGAATGAGAAAAAAAGCAATCCTTAGGACTAGGTACTACCTAGGATGCTTCTCTGGGCTGTCTATTCCTACCCCCAGACTTCATCCCAGCACAGGTCCTATTCAGGTAAATTCAAGAGTAAGAGAAAATCTGGTACCACACTCATCCAGTACATTCTCCTCGAGATGTTCTCCGTTATGCAATTGTACTGAATGACTCACTCAAGTATTGTTCTATAGAAACAACAGCCTTGCTCCGTACCCTCTCCAAATGTGCTAATTTAGTAGAGGAGAATGAAAGAGAAATCAGGGTTTTTTTTCCTACAGAAACAGTTTAGCAAATTCTATACCATCAACGCCCATGTAACATACCATGTCAGTAATACAGCAAGATCATCAAGCTTGTTTCTACTACCAGTAACTAATCTTGTATTTCAGGAAAATATAGCTGAATCAGAAATAGACAGATACAGATAAATTCTCTGTGAATGCCCATGTGGAAGCCATACTTATTACCTCACCTTCAGCCTAAAAGTGCACACAGACAATTTGGCAGCAGCAGTTTTGATGACTTAATTTCTCTTTCATATACGCTTTACTTATGCAGGAATAGTTAAAGAGGGGGAAGAAACGTCAGCATTCCTTAAAATTATCTGTACATTTGGTCTATGATGTTGACCACTGCATTCTGCACTTTGAAAGCTGCAATATTCCGGTTATTTCAGTAGTTCACATGCAGGGAGATTTAGCTTGCCTAAGTACCTTCTAAATACACAGACCTAGCCGTGCACGTTTACCAAGCCCAGAATTCTGCCATTTCCTTATAGCGTCTTCACACGCTCTTTTTTGCTGCATAAGAAACAGGTGAGATGCTGTATTTAACCACTGCAAACACATGCTTTACTCAAATACCCAGAGCCTGAAGGCTGGCTTTTTTTGAACGTGAAGAACAAAACCCAGGATCTTATACCTAATTCAAGGCTATGCGCGAGCAATATCGACGTGTGCATCAGCGTTTGCGTTTGTCCTCCACTCGTGGCTGTGTGCCACAAAGCAGCCGCTGCCAGCAGCTTAACTGGACCGACAGGCAGTCACTGTCTGCCTGCCGACAGAAACAGGGGGCAGAGGAGGTGTAGGGCAAGTGGGGAAGGGCTGCAGCGAGACTCAGACACAAGCAGCAGTCAGACAACTACCTCTCCGTGAGAGATAACAAGATTCAGACACCCAAGTGCCTTTTGTGCTTTTGAGAAAAAAAAATAATCTTATTTATAGTTTGTTTTGCAGTGTCGATCCAGTAAAAGCAGCATGACCCTTCTAAAGGTACAGTTCAGCCACCATCAGGCAGCAGCTATCTGGACAGAAGAGATATTTCCCTTTCATGACAGTTACGCCTCAATAATTTCTGATCAATAATTACCAGGATAGCGAGGTTTCTGTTGAAAGACTGCATTGAAAGAACAGCAGTATAGTTAGAGACATGTGAAGACGACCCCAATTAAATTCTGTTCGCTATAAAGACTCAGGAGAACTTGGATATCTGCAGCCTTTTAATTTCAGCGTAGTATCTGTGACAGCATCTTACTGAAAAGAAATTAGTCCCCATTTTCATACCTGCTTTTCCTTTTTTTCAGAAAAAGTCTACATTTAAGTTGGAGGGGGAAGCAGAGTCATCGTAATGCTTGCTGACCTTTTGTAAGTAAAGCTACATGAAGAGTTTGACAAAGCAAGATGAAAAGTGATTCATATGAGAGATTACTCTGTTTAATGCATGCAGAAAAGATGGCAGAAAAGGTCAGCTATTCACCCCCCTTGCATTTCTAACTATGCCTCGCTTTTCTCATCTAATGATGAATTAGCAATATACAGCTTTTTGGCAACAGCTCTGCATGTTCTCCCGTGATGACATTTCAGGATACAGCACGACAGCTTTTGCTATTTCAGTGCCAGAAAGCGCAAACTCAAAATTCTGTTCCAAAAGAAAATTCTCCTTCCAGGTAAGGCACGTGCAACCAGCAAGGCCTTGGTCTGTTAAGACAACCATACTTATGATAATTCCCAAGGGAACGTACAAATTGCTTTAGACAATACAGGAAATTAAAGCGTGGCATCAAAGCCAGACTGCAGCTTTCAAGGGCATGCAAACAGTGAGGTCGTATCGTTACGTGGAGACTCCATACCTTTTCATGCGTTCCTGTTCACTGGTATCCAGCGCTTTCAAAGTGCGAGCGTACAGGATCACAATGTCGGAACGTTTTGCTTTCTTATTGCACTGGAATAGAAGACAAGTTCAGTTCATCTACAAGATTTTAACTCTCCAAACTACACATCCCTCCAAGTTCCTAGACTTTATTTTGAAAAACCCTTATAGCCTGTAAGGGAGGGGCCGTCTGCTTGAGAAGAAGTCCACAAAACCACAACCATACCACAGTGTGTTTGCAAGACACTCCCTCATACAGACACCAAAGCTCTAATCAGGGCTACAACAGTTATGGTCATGTACCCTATTCCACTTTTAATAACGTATCTCCTCCCTTCCCCCTGAATTTGTTCTGCTAAAGCACCAGCGACACAGCATGGTCAGGTAGAGTTCCAGGGACAGCAAGAAGAAAAAAAGAAAACTCAGACAAATGGGGAAAGAAGAACAAAACCAACACACCAACCCAACTTCTATTTTGAAAACATCAAGACTGGGTGCTTTGGGAAACCCTGAGTACACTCCCAACTCTTATTTACATACTATATTCCTTTGATCAAATCCTATGGGCCCAAATCCGTACAAGCATTCCAGTGTCAGTATGAAACACTGACGTCCTGCTGACTTCAGTGATACGCGGGGAGTCAGGTATTTCAGTAACTCTGTGCATCTGGCTGTGACTATCTAATACTTTAGATTCTCCTTAAAAAGAAGGGATAATACCTCCCCCTGAGTTGGGACTTGGAAGAAATTACGGCATCCGCAAGCTCACTGTTTTTACAAATATACTTTGTTGATGAGAAAAGAGGCGGTGAATACTCAGATCAAGTAACCTCCGCTGAACATTAAATTACTACGTGTGCTTAAAACACAGACATCTCTATTATTTAGTAGTGCGAAGATATCACGGGCAACAGTTTCAGATTGGGCAAACCCCCTCCCTTCGTTAAGAAAAAATGCCCTGCAGAGCAGTAAGCGGCAAAGACAGCTTTCCTGGCAGGCAGCAGCTGTCACTGGCAGGACCAGGAAAGCTGTTATTTTACAGTAACTTGCACTCAAGCCACTTGGTATACAGAGCACCACTCACAGCAACTCTGTGCTATTCAATTAGAGAATGCCCAGTCGCAAACGGCAGCGAGTGAAAGTGAAGGGAAGGTGATTTAGCTGCAAGGTTCTCTCCAGAGCAAGAAGTTCTCCCAGGAAGTTTTCATAATTACATCACTGGAAGAAAAAGAGGGAGCAATCACCCCTCACGAGTTGTTTGGGTTCAAGAAAAAGCCGTCACAAAATGCCAAAGAGCAAAGATGCCGGGAAGGTCTCTGAGAATTCTGGAGTGGGTGAAGAAAAAGCTCACACAGAATTGACAGAGATAAGAAAAATAAGGTTTGGGCCTTTGCTATGGCAACAGTGATTCTTTAGGTTTAATCACAGCGCACATCAACAGGAAGCTTCTTGTTGAGAGGAGGGAATTCTGCACAAAATCATGCAAGACTATGGAAGCTCTCAAAATGAGAAAGCTGAAGAAATCCTGGGCTTCCAGCCACCAACTCAGAAAGGAGCACAACTGAATCCTATTTACAAGGTACTCAACCTATTTTTTTTGGTCAACGTTCCTTTCTGGAGAAAAGGAATAAGGAATGGAAGCAGATCACAGAACTGTAGACCTAATCGAAAGAGATCGGTATTACCCATGGAAACAAAGCTGAAAATAGCAGCTTAAAAAGCAGATCTACCACTTGCAAATGGAAATTAAAGGATGCAGCTTGTTTCTCAATTTGCTCTCTGCAAGCTACATAAATGACCTGGTCTGCTTAAAGGCTGCAAAAGCAGATACAGTTCAAAATAGAAGATTACATGAATGAAAACAGTTCTCAAACAGATTTCTTGCCCAATAACATATTCTTTACGCTTAGTTAATTGCTTCGAGGAATCTGTCTCCCATTCCCACACTCCAGGACCACAGTGCAGCGTTCCAAAACCATTTACAGGCTTAGCGCTTGAACTCTCAAACTTCTGAGTCTGCTACTCGCGAATGCCCTACTTCAAGGGGAAAATCCAAGTCGGAATTCTCCCTTTAAAGCGGTGCTAGTTGCTCCTGGCCTAATTACATCAAAATAATGGCGATTTTTGTTATTTCTGACAGCAGGCAAAGGTGGATCGTTCATGCAGCAAGCAGCTGTAACGGTTACGGTGACCACACCTGCAGCAGAAGTTACCCTTTCCAGTGCACATAAATGTCTGTTTTACCTGGGGGCACTTCCCTGCCTGTCCCTTGAGCCACCTTTCAATGCACGTGTAACCAAAGAGGTGTCCACACCGCAATGCTGAGAGACGGTGGTCCCCAGCGTTGGTCCACTGCTCAAAGCAGATGGCACAGGTATCGCCTTCCTCCTCATCCAACGGAGCAAAAGGAACTGATGGTTCCAGTTTCTTTAGTGGAGTTCTCTAGGATTTAAAAAAAAAAAAAAAAAAAAAAAAAAAAAAAAGCAAAAGCACACAGATTATTTTTTTCTAGACAAATGTAGCATTTACCATATTTAATCTGGCTCCAAAAGAATTTAGGTCACCGTACCTGCTTTTGCTGGAATTCAGCCTCTTCATCTTCATGGCCTCCTGCAGAAGCTTGAGACAAAGCTTGAGGCGGCTCTTCTTGGATGTGACTGGAAACTAAAGAAAGCATTGCTTAAATGAACTGATACGTAAAGGGGTGGGGGTGAGGGGGGTGAATTCCTCTTGACTTGATCTGAAATCACTGGGGCATAAGATAAGCAGTACAACAACGGCACAGGCTACATACAAAGCTTCAGATCAGCGTCCTGGATACTGAAGGTCAGGGAGTCTGTAAGTCCTATTCACCAATGGTAGTGCTGAAGAACTTTATGCTTTCTTTTACGGAAAGCAGCAGAATATCAGCATATTCAGTGAAAAGGAAAGGTCTTTTAAAGACAGAAATTGTTGTCGGGATTTTTGGACCTGCATCCAGGTGTATAGTTAGGCTGACTCAAGGACACAACGCTGCATCATTATGCCCAGAGAAAGACAGACACCAATATGAAGAAGTTGTTTTGCCAAGGGATCTAAGCATGCATATTTCATGTGCCAAGAAAGCATTTACCGTATGCTATCTGTCCATTCACCCTGACTTAAGTAGTTTTCCAGCTGGTAGTTATCCGAACTATCAATTCTGCTGGGCCATATGTTTTTGTGGTGGGCCTCTGTTAACCCTTCTGTTGAAGCACGGGCACACAGAAATGCTACGTTTGGATTACCACCACTAACATACTAAAAAAGGAGCAGAAATCACCATCTCCTCCATCTCCTGACAAAAGAAGGGTTATTAGTCACATTTAGTAGTCGAGGCAGATATTCTCAATCCAGCGGAGAGGTACCACCTAGCCCTAGCTAATGTCAGTAAAGTTTTCAGCCTCTATGGTCCTGGGCCAAACAGGAACCAGGGGCTTATATAAGCACAAAAGACAAGGGAATTCCAGAAAACCCAACAGCGAGCATATGGTCACACAATATTAGACAGCACTTAACAGCTTGAGCTCCTGTCACGTGCAAGGCTAGCTCAGAGCAAGCGGAATGAATCTGTTCAAAAGACACGTCGTAGATGTACCCTCAGGAAAAGATGTCAAGGTGGGCTGGCCGGTCAAAACCAAACCTCAGGGCAGGGAGTGAAACATAACGACGTTCTTTAGACTGAAGTAAAACAAAATAAATTTTGTTCTCATGTTCTCTGGGCATCGGTAACCTTGAATAGCAAGTTAACTGTTTGTCACTCTTACATAAACAGTGTATTTTCATCACAAACAATGTCACTGAAGCGCGTGGCAGCCTGTGAATATGAGTCTGGATAAAGGATTGCAAGCCATAAAAAGCTGAGGAAAGAAAGAAACAAACGAAAAGCCCACTGTCCTAAGTATCTCTGCCTCCTCAGCTAAGTGTCACAAGAAGTCACAGGAACGAAAAGAAAACTCTGAACTGAAGTGGGCTGAAACCACAAATAATTGAATCGGATCCTTCTCTGAAAACTGAAAGCACTGCTGATCCCCAGAGATGTGACTCAATGTCTTCAATAATACTCCTTGATAATATATGAGAGAGGAAGTACTAATCTCTAAACTTGAAGCTATTCTGAACATTTCCAGGATTGCTTGGAAGCAGCAGGCTGCGAATAGCAAGAAGATTGTATTTAACATCACAGTAGCAATCACCCATTACTGCTACTGCTCTTAGGAACCGCTTGCCAGAAAGCCTTGTGGTAGCAACCTGCTCCTGTCAGCTGCGGGCATGATCATCTCTTAGCACCGTCTGTTGTGAAGCTTGAAAGGATTTCCCTACTGAGTTTTGAAACAGCAAGATGAGTTTCTGCAATCAGTCCCTACGCAGCTCAAATATAGCACAAACCTCCTGAGCTAGCTGCCGGAGGTGTCTCCCGGGCCGACGGTAAGAGCGGTGCTGCTGCCTCCGCCGCTTCCTCCTCCTCAGCAGAAGTGCTGCTGTCAGAGTCGCTCACTTCTATTATTTCATCTGAGCTGTGTTCCTGGTTGTCCCTCGCAATATGTGAGGGCTCCAGACGCGGGACTAGTCCTGTAGCTGGCTCTTGGGTCCTGCTGAGTTGAAAGTAACTGTCCAACGCTGCCCTGAGTCCAGAAAAGCAAAAAATAAAAGCCACAGTTATTTCAGGTAAGCTAAAGACTCAGAACGTTTCTCCATGCTTGTCTGCAGTAGAATTCCTAGGCTCTTGACTGCAATAGGAAGGTATCAAAGACCTTCTCTGGCAGAAGGACAATCCCATACAATTGCCCATTTTATAAACAATTACCAGTATCGTACAGCAACCATTCATTTTGCTCAGCTCAAAGAAAATCTCTCGTTACAACAATGATATTGTCTTCTTTTGGGGTGGGGTGGTGGTGGAGAGAAGGAAAGCAAAGACGACATAAATACTGTTCGCTAATAGCCAAAGAGACTCCTAATTAGTACCTCCAACCCTAACTCAGACCTGCTTCCCAAAGCCACTGGTAATATTAGATGCACAAGGCTTGGATCAGAGTCCCACTCCATCGACTACTTTGTGCCTAGTCTTTCTACTTTCCCTCTTCTTTTCTGCGGGAACTTCATCCCTGGATAGAAACATCCTCCCCTCTCCCCCCCATCAGCTCAGCTATTGTCTCAATTACCCTTCAGATTTAAAGCAGAAGTTTGTCAGGTTGCCTTCTAGCCCTGAGAACGCCAGTGACCTTCACATGCAATCCAAGGGCAAACAGTACAGTTATGTTTAATCATCTGGGAGCAGAGGAGTTCTTGGTCTCACTGAATTTAAAGGCAATGCTCCAGTTAATTATAATTTCACCCTTGACATTTACAAAAACTACAAAGATGAGACAAAAACCAAACAAATCAGAAATGGGATTTCTTTCTGACAGGAAAGCATCACCCTTTAAACCCATCACAAATGGTATTAAGCACAGAATCTTTACTTTCTTTGCCTGGAGGTAACAAAACCTACAGCAAAATATTAACTTCTATGTTTGTGAAAGTTTCTACAGCAATTGTCACCAGCAAACTTAATCAGGCAGTCCCCAAATCAAAGGTGAAATGCAAAACAGAGCACAAGCTCCACTGAGCTAAATGCTGGCTGGAACTGCTGAGAGTCAGCACTGCTGCAGGGAGCACCGACAGGAATCTGGCAGAGCAGAGGGAACAGTGCGAGGAGAAACTCAGCAAACAAGGTGGAAAGCATGGAAGGGCTCAGGAGTCATCACCACCGCTGCCAACATAAGAAACGGAGGGATTCACTTAGCAAAGATCAGGCCAGAAGAGATCAGAGCTGCACCATTATTGAGCTTAAACGGTATGTGAGCTGCCCAGAATTTGGCCACAGCCACACACCTGGGCTGAGCTGGGCTCTATAAGCCAGGAAGCGGGGTAGCTTTAAACTGATGCCGACTTGGTAAGAGTGCAGTTCAGACCTAATTTCTTTTCCGCTTTACCTGGCACTGACAGTCCTCTGGGAACCACCGATTCTCTGCTGCCTGCGGGCTCTCCTCACTCGCGGACGCTGCGTGACCTGTGGCACAGGCAGTGGCCGATACGGATCGGAAGCCCCTTGTAGGCCTTGGCGGCCGGTGA